CCAGCATTATCATAATTCCGGCCCTGAAAAGTTGCTTATTTTAGGTCAAAATCTTACCGATCATTTATGACCTCCATATATATTTTCGGGGTCCTGATTCAATTGTAAAAAATATTATCGGCTCTAATTGCTTCTTGTCAAGATTTAATCGTATTATATGAAATTTTTTTAAACTATGTGATATTAAAGCAAATCCGAATAAATATGAATTATTAGTGATCGGATAATGAATCTGATGATTATATTATAATGCTGGGTGGAACTAAAGTAAAAATTAATTTTAGTAATGACGGAGTTAGGTTTTTTAGGAGTATGGATTAGCTATAACGTATAAAGTTAAATCTCATTCGAGTGATAAAGGGAATGACATGGCGGATGCGTTAAGTAAAATGGGTTCGCTCGAAAATAATGATGATTCAGAAATATTTATTAATATAAACAATAAAGTAACATGGAATATTTAGCTTTTTGGAGAAGAATATTGATTAAGGAGAGCCCTAGAGAATTCATGAAAAAATTAAATCAATATATAGGTCCTAGACATATGCAGATCAATGCGAATGAATATAATAGATATTGAGATTGATTGGAAATTATCATTAGAGATAATTATGAAAGAATTTAGATCAGATATTTCATGGAATAGTAACAATGAATGCGTAGCGTTTAACATTAAAAATTACTTAGAAATTTACCTACGATGAGCTTATTAAACAAAAGAAATCCAGAAATTTATTCACGAAGTATGTGTTAGATGTAATAGAACGGTGGAAAACTGGATACATATTTAAATTTGTAGTGAGAATAATGTCACAATGATTCAATAATCAATGTAGCATACGATCAGTTGAAAGAACGATTAGAAAAAGTAGATATTAAAGTTTGATCATAGGTTATACGAAAAATTATTTAATATATTGAATGAACGATCTTTAATGATATTTAATGGAAGGAAGCTATAAAAGGGATAGTTAACAAGAGATTATTTTGTGAAATTAATAATAATTTATTTATAGACACGATTAAAGAATTTGTATCTGAAATAAAAGAACTAGCTAGGAAACATATGTGGAAAATTAGATGTGAGCGAGGAGGCTAATCAATAGGAACTAAGCAAAGGTATTAATAGAAATGTTAAACGAATGGAAACAGGAATGACTCGCTCTTTAATTAATTGCTATGGTATTAATGAGAAAGTTAAACAAAAGTTTATTAAAGATACTTTGAGTAGATGGATAGGTTATCATTTAGTGACGGGAAATAAATACTTGTTATTCCATGGGTATCAATGAATAACTGAAATATTCACCGATGTCTTGGGGGCCCCCCCGAAGGGAGGGGAGCCGGGAGCATCGGTGTATATGGAGTATTTATTAGATACCCATGGAATAACAGGTTTATCTCATTGTGTATGGCGTATACACCGATGGATTTTATACTTTTTTATACTTTTTTTATACCGGTGGAATAATTTACAAAAAAATCCATCGGTGTATACATAATACCGATGGGATAATATTAAGGAAATATGGTCGACATTAGATTTATCGGATTTATGGAATTATCATAATTTAGTTGTATTTAGAAGTTCTAGGTATACGGAAGAATATTTTATATTAGATTAGATATTAGATTAGATACTTTATTGATGTGATACTTTTATGTCTATATTATAATTGATTAATATTTGTATAATTTTATAATACTAATAAAAAAAGAAAATTTTATAGTTAAAAATGTATATTTAAATTCGTTGTGCTACGTCGATTTCGATTTATAAATTAAATTAAATGCGCGTGATATAAACAAAATCGATTAAAATCGATAGTTACACAAACAGAAATTCCCTACGCTTCGGAAAATTAATCAAAAAAAAAAACTAAAAATATGTTCTGTTTACAAAACCAAATATTTTTTAAGTCTAAAATACTCTATTATCTTGTTGTTGTATTAGATTCTCTTATAATTTTTATTAAAATAACGCTAAAATAATAATAATTCTACACAATATTAACGAAACGTATAGATTAATACATAAATATTACATACTAACGAAATGTTAGCAAGTAATCATATACAAAACCTATAAAGCTACTAATAATACACTACACAGTGTGCAAAGAGTCTATTTATCGGAAAACACAAAAAATTAAAAATGTTTTAAAGTTTCGTAAGAGAGAAAACGGAGTGGTATGTAAAATGATCGACACCATATCAAATCTGAAATTTCTCAAAATCATAACCAAAATATCTCAACGTGTAACGGACAGACCATTTCAAAGTCAGTAATTTGGTCTTCACAGCTGAGGTGTGTTATAAGCATTTCATTTCTGAATTGATACTCTTAATCTCCCATCTATTATTTTCTATATTCCACTTTTTCTGCACTTTGTGATACGAAGTTTCTCTTAATATTTATTTTTATTTATTTATTTATTTATTATTAATTCATATTCCGTAAAAGAACCTGAGAAAATTGGAATTCGACTGTCTCACTCTGTCTGAATAAAGCGTTAACACTTCGGATAAAATGTATCCTAGAAACAGCGCCCAAGCTTTTCTTCCCTTATTTCCGAGTTTAATCATTCCGACGGGTTTCTAGTGTCTTTATTTTTTGTTTTAGATTTTTGTTTTGCTTTTTTCCGTTATAGAAACGAATCATCTCTTAATAATGATTTTTTTAATTCCAGGTGGCAAAACGGGAAGCCGATCTGCATGTGTATATCAAGTAACACCACCAAAATTTCTCCCCACGTGACAGGTGACATTTAAAGGGTTGTGAAAAAAATAATTTTGGGAGGCAAAAAAAACACGTACAGTGAAAACGCGGTGGGGTGTGATGCCGGCGATAAATATTATTAGGTCACGTGGGGTGAAAAATTTAGTGGGACAATGAGAATCTCACGTGCACAATGTAGCCAATCACGTTCATACTCCTTTACGTCCAATGCGTCCAATGAAAATCTCACGTGCATACTCGTGCATATTATCATTGGTTGTTATTATAATAACTTTATCCTTATTATGGGAAGCGAACTGCATGTATGTTGTTACTCCACATTAATTTAAGACCAATGAGACCTCACGTGCGTATTTTCGCAACTTCATTGGCCTAGTTTATTTATTATTTGTATAAAATTTCCCTTATGTATTTATTTATTTATTTAAATTATCTTAATTTTTAAAAGCATTATTTAATAAACCGATTTATTCAATATTCAATTTTGAGAATTTTGAAATGTTTATTTGAAACAATGAAAAATTAAAAGGAAAAAAAAAAATTTTTTTAAAAATTTTTGTGTGTCCGCCGCCGCCGAATGTGATCAGCTGAATGATTCGCTGAATGACTACTTACCCGGTTAATAAAACCCTATCAAATTAAATAAGCATACGATAGGTAATTTTTACACTAAGAAAAATATTTTTGTTTCGAAGCGATAGTAAACTTGTTATATAATAAAATTTACTATTGAAGAATTTTTCTTGTGAATCAAAATTTTGCTTAAGTATTCAAACATCTTTCAATAAAAAAAGTATTCAAGTTTCGACAATAATAAGTATTACTCTTGGATGTATTTCCATAAGAAAAAATTTTTTCTTTAGTATTTTTTCGAAAAAGCGAGGTATTATCCTTTAGGTTATTTTATTTTGCATATTAATTAGTTGAAAACGTAACATGATTTTTTCTTAAAAAGTTTCGAAAATAAACGGACCGACCATGTGATCCATGTTCAAAATGTTACAAGCTGAGTTGTCGTAAATGATTATAACATTCTATACATATAAAAAAAAAAAGTTTTTTCTTCATAGTATTCTAACGTAGAATAAACAATTTACTTAAAATTGTAAGATAAAAAAAAAAAAAATTTTTTTTATTTATAGTATTCCAATATACTCTTGAAATCACATATTACTGTAATATTACAAATTTTTTTTTTTTATTCCAAAAAAAAAAAAGGATGTTCCATCACTACATCGCTTCCCATAATAAGAATAAAATTATTAGATAAGTACATGATGTTTGTGATAATGCGCACGTGAGGTTTTCATTGGACTCAATTTAATGTAAGGAGTACACATGCAGCTCGGCTTCCCATAATAAGGATAAAATTATTATTATAACTATTAACCAATGGTAATATGCACGTGAGGTTTTCATTGGAATTTAAGGAGTATGCACGTGATTGGCTGCATGCAAAAAAAAAATCATTAATATGCAGAACCTGTTTTTTTGTTACGTATACAAAATTAATTTCGATGAGAACCAATCGTTTTAATTTTGCATGATGTCAAGACGTCACTTTTCAGCTGTTTTATCACGTGTTGCAAATCACGAGTTAATTAAGTAAACCGCAGTAAATTACTGTCCCCGTGACATTTTATCTTTATATGAAAGAAAAAGGGGAAGTCGCACATAAAACCTAAATTAAGAAACCTAATGAAAGATTAACGCAGGAGTATGTTACATGCAGTTTCATGTTATCGCACGACAGAAGATGCTACCTAAAATAAGATAAATTCAATGAAATCCTTGTGATCCAAAATAAGTAGTATTTGAAAGTCCTTATTCAAACAATAATTCTCTGAGTAATTTTCTCTGAGTCACAATTCTACGTTTAGTACAATCGATTTTACGTATTTGCGAGCTACCTGTAACTCCGGTTTCACGTAATTTTTGTTTATCATTTTTACATAACAGAGAACGATGGTTATAATGTTTTTTTTATTAATATGCGATTTAAACATTGTGTGTATAAAAAATTCAGGTTTCTTTATTTATTTCACTGTTATTGCATATCCGGATATCTATATGAAATGAAACTTTTTATAGAAATTGTGAATTGTAAATTTAATAAATTTTTGTATAAGAAAAATATGCTTCAAAAATATTTTATTTATCAAGAGCCTTAAAATCTAAACATATTAACTTAATCTTACACTTTCTATTGAGACTTATTCTTTAATGTTAAAAATAACTATTAATAATTTCTAAATACCGTATAAACCTAAAATTTGATTAAATATTTTTTGTAAAAATTTTATATTCTTTTAATTATTCATAACCTTAAATTTATTGTAATATCATTTTAAGCCTAAATGTTTTGTTAAAAAGAAGAAAAAAAAAAATTATTAAACTGTATCAAAATTGTGATTGATCATCGCGGGGGAGCATGGTATTATCGAAATAACTTTGGCCGTCAGTTATTGAAACTGTTTGTCTCACATTGCTTTTTAATCCCATTTCACTCTCGGGGATTTGAAGAAAAAACCGTTTCAAACTTAGTTCGAGATTTAATTTTTGATACCAAGCTAATACATGTTTTCGTTTCAAGTCGTTTATATCAAAATCAATTCCGTAAATCTTTTTGTTCAATAAACCTATAACTGAAGGAGGTGATAAAATCTTACATTTAATATGTTTTGTATTAATAATATCATTTGAAATCTGATAGAAGAATTCATAGTCGTAATCGTCATAGTCATTTTGATTGTAATTTTGTAAAGTGATTTTACAAGCAACATTATAAATGAAATCATCGTTTGGTGGTTGATGGAATAATCTAAGTTCGTTCGCTTGTTGTGATGATTGAATAAGAATTTGGTCAATTGAAGTATTTGAGAAATCACTGGTAAATGGTAATCATAATGAATGAATAAATGTCAATCGAGAGTCAAATAAAATTGTAATATAAGTTTAAAATTTTAGGACACGAACCTTTTTAAAATTTTCTCTTGTAGAAAAGGAAGATCTTGTTTTAAACTTAGTTCGAGATTATATTTTTGACCCCAAGTTAATGTATGTTTACGTTTCAGATCGTTTAAATCGAAGTCAATTTCATAAAATTCCTTATTCAATATACTAATAATCAAAGAGGGTGGTAATAATTTACATGTGACGTAATAATTAGCATCTAAACCCTCATAAAAGAAATCGTAATCGTAATAACTATAATCCCAATTTTCAGAAAATTCTAAAATCATTTTAAAATTTACATGATAAAAATTATTATCATTTGGCGGTTGATAAAATAATCTAAACTCATTCAACTGCAAGGTTTGTTGCGCTGGTTGATATCTATTCATTGTTAATTTCTAAATCACGTGTTGCGGTAAGACTTGCGTTAAATTATGTTCTTTGCTTTTTTTTTGCTATATTGTATTTATTTATTTTAAAAAAAGAAACTTAGGAAATAGAAAGTAATAACTTTTTGAGGGTAACAAAATTACGGGGCTGCCAGAAATGATTAAAAGAATGTTGCGAAAGAATTTTTCAATAAATAAAATAACTCCGAAAAATGTATCACGCGCTAAGCATATAAGACAAGAAAAAAATAATAAACTCTGATATAGAGAATAAGAATGTTAATACTTTTGAATGTTTGAAAAATCAGACCGTTTTCTTATGTGTAAAAAGTTTTTACATGCTAATAAACTGAATAATGGTATATTTTATTATACAAAATGTTTGAATAAGGTGCAAAATTAAATTTTACGGAACAATTTAAGTTAATGTAACTCACGTTGAGCGAGTAAAAGGGGAAAAAAAATCAAATTTAATATGAAAGTAAAAGATTTATTATAACTCAGAGCTCTCTTTCCTTTTTTTTTTTTTCTTCCTTTGAAATTATCTCGCTTCTTTATATAAGACAAAAAAAATTTTTTTTTATATACTTTATGATAAAAAAATAAAATCATTTGATTAGCTAACGAATAAGTTAATTGGAAATTATACGATATATCCAGCCAAGAATTATGAAATTATGAATCTTGGTGAATACAAATTTAAAGCTCATTAACTTTATTAGTTTATGTAACAATAATGCATCAAAAAATTTTTTTCATTTCACTGACGATTTATTGTGTACCTTATCCTACAATAGAGTACTACACACTGATCATTCCCAAATTTGAACAAAGATTTACCTTTTTTTGAAATTTTTAAAGGCCCATTTTGTTTTATGATATTTTATATATAATAATAGTGAAAAAGCCGCTCTCTGTTTCAGTCGGATGACGGATGATTCGTTTACCGTCAGGATTTATTATGCTATGCCGATCATTTCCTTTTTTGGATTTCCATAACATTATTTCCTTTTTTGGAATTATAAGTCGGGCCAGCACCATAAACTCAGCCAGAATTAAGCATGAATCCAAAATTCCGGATTAATCTGACGGATTATCCGGATGATCCTTATATCCGTGATGGATATCCGGATAGATAAAATTAATTATGGATCGGATTAATGGATCACGGATTCATCCGGATCGTAGCACTAGAGTCATACCAGGTTACACCGGTAACAGCAAGTGGTCTCTAAATACTGCATTTTTAACCTATATAGAATCGATAAAGTTAATCGAGTAATTGTTAATATTTATTATTATCAACGTATAATATTATAATATTATATAATTCGGAACATGTAATCAAATAAACGATAAAATGCTATAAATGCATTCTCACTCTTCTACACAATAATTAGAAAATTCTTCAGCCTGTCGTGTTCTTTGATTCGTTCGAATCGTCCAACTTTTCAAATATTTTATTAAATGAATATATACAGTAATGAAAAAAATGAAATATACTGCCAGATTTTTATATATCTGATATTCCGAATTCTAAATTAATTAAATACATATTAACATATAATGCATAAATACAGTGATTACTTAAAATAATATAACAGACAATGTAAAAGTTCAAATAACATTTTATATTATGCTTATAAAGAATTAAATGAGAAAATTTGTCATCCTCGATTTATAATTTTATGATATAATTGTTTTTGATGGTAAGAAAAATAGATTTTCTTATAATACAATTTTTTAAATACTTGTTGCTGGTATCCATTGTGCTCGGATTTGCTTGATATGCTTCGTTATTAATTTTATATATTTATTAAATGTAGATGTAGAATGGGGCGGTAACAAGGGAAATCCACCATTACAAATAGTGAATAAAACTATACAAAAGTTAACACTCAACCCCTAACGTTGCCCGGCCTAATATTGAAAATTCTAGGCGCAGCCTACTTTCTGTGAGTAAGCTATGATATGTAAAAAATAAAAAAAATATCTAAAAAAGTCTATATGAGAATTATAAAAATCTAAAGAAGAAAAATACGTATTAATAAAAGAAGTCCATCCTCCTGAGTGTAAAATATTAGATGAAATATAAATGATTGTAACATCACGATACGACGATACGTGAGTTGAAGATCTGATCATTAGTCGTTGGCGTGCTCGAAGCTGATTGGACTCGGGAGCGATCTGCCTGTCGATTATTGTTGTAGCGATGATGACGACGTTTCTTGTAATATAATTTTTTTTCCGGGTAGTAATACCTCGGCGTTTTCCCCATTTTTTAAGTTGATCCATGTGATCCTTCCAAACCAATTCGTTTAGGAGGGCATGACATTATGTAAAATGATAGCATCACTATCGAGCGTTTTCGCAAATATTGGTGGAGTACGGTAACTATAGAGTTGGGAATGAATTGATGAATGAACAAATAAATTTTGTGTTTCACATCTATGTTGGTATTAAAAATAGGAAAAAGTTTAAATTTATATCTAAAAAGTATGTGAGAGAGTCTTCCGGTACGTTGCTCAGAATAAGTTGTTAACATCATTAATAATCATAAACCTATTCTTAAACAAGATCCGGTCGGATTAAGGATGGTCACCGGTCCTAGAAGACCGCGGTCTCATCTACACCCCAAAAAGACGGTCTGGTCCGTCTCGCGTAGGACCGCGGTCTTTCGGTCCTGGACTAATTCTGGCCAGATACATAGTGTCGGACGGAATTACTAAATACGGAAATCACGTGATCACGAATGAATAGTTTAGCCACCGGGCACAAAATTTTTTGTGTTACACTTACTTTTAATTCTGGCCAGCACTATAAGTTCGGCCTGAATTAACAGCAGGACCGAAAAGACCGAAAGACCACAGTCGCAGTCCTGAGACCGAGTAGGACCGGTAGGACCGATGACCATCTTTAGGTCGGATAGAAGGACAGAAACCTAAATGATAGTTCATATCATTGATTTACAGGATGCTAGGCATGTTGTATAATTCCGGGTAATGTTTCAAAGAAATTTCGCCGAAGGGTAAAATATGGTTGGTGCTTTTAATTCGATAAGTTGAGTTGTGAGTTTACCAAATTTTGGAGAAATTCTAGTTAATGTCTTGCGAGGAAAAAATTTTGAAAATCTGTTGTAATGGTTGATTGTGTAAATTATGAGTGTGTAGGCGCCCGTGATTTGTTGGGTATGTTTGTATTGTGAGTCCGTGGTTGAATTGATACGATGGAATGGGGTCGTAGTAGCACATCCACAATATTGGCTAATGTGTTGGTCTATTCCTTGTAATATGTTATAGGAGGAGCTTAATCCTTCATAAGGGATGATTTGGTTGAGTCTATCTGTGAAAAGTTATATGAGGATCGTGGATCTTTGGGGGAAAATGTAATCGGTATAGTGATAGTTTTAGTAAAGATAAATTAACATGATCACAAGCTTTACTAATGCCTTGAAGACCAATCCATAGTGGTTTTTAGAAGTGGAATTAGTAGTCTAGTTTACTGTTTCTATGATATGTTGAATGGTTTGTAGCGGTTGTAATGTGAATTGTCCTATGAGACCAGCGCGGTTATTTGGTTGTAAAAAGATGTATTTGACAGGACTTTGTTGGTTCTATTGGTTAAGATTTTGACAAATAGTTTTCTGATAGTGTCTAATAAAATTATTAGACGAGTGTTGTTGATTTCACTATTCCATTCTTTAGGTTTAGGTATAGGGAATAGTAAACCTTCGTTTCATACTGTGGGCATATTGCCAATTTTAATACAGGCTTTGAATAATTCTGCCATGTATTGATAAATGAATGTCTTCAGGAAAGAAAGATATCAGATACAAAGACCTTAAACGTCTACATGGTGTCTTGTGTAATGCTTCGTTATTAAGCGTTGGTGATTAATCGATCGGTAGAAGTCCTTCATCTATGTTAATGAGGAGTTTGACGATAATTGACAACTATTATCTAAAAGAACCTGGTTAAAATGTAATATTTTGTAATTTTTTTTTTTTAAAAAAAAAATAATTATTATTATTGTTGATTACCTCTAAGTCTTCGAATCATTCTTGACCTATGGGTGGAGCTAAGATTATGATTAATTTGTAAAAGCATAAAGCATAAAAGCTGATATTTTTGAAATGGGAAATCATTGAAAAATTAATGCATGTGATCACGTGGACGGCCACCGTAAAATTACTGGGTGCTTACCATCTTTTAGATAAAAATAAAATAATTATTAATATAATTGAAAAGAACGTTCCAAATTACGTTGCTGCACAGTGCAGCGCTGCTGACGCTAGAGGTTTAGTAACACGCCCTAAACATTAAACATTAATAATATAATAAATATAACATAGTCGCACCTGTTTCGACATTCTCTCGGACTACGAGTTGCAACTTCACGAGAAATATTATTCCAACTATGGTTACGAATACCAAACCGATTTACGGCTCTCTAATCCAACCTTAACATTTAATTCTAATCCTAACCTCCTAATCCTAATCTTAACCTAACTCTATCCTATTTATAATCCTCTGTGGCTTGATAATCTATCCAGCTACTATTTTTTGGAAGCGATGCTTAGGTTTGTCTCAGAATGATTATTGGATAAATTTTGTAATATACGTAAAAAATTTTTATTTTTCAATTATTTTTTTTTCTTCCGTGAATAAATAATTTTTTCTTCATGAATATAATTGGAATAAATTTTTATTATTTTTACTAAAAAGGGAGCATAATATAATATAGTATGTATTTAATAATGGAATAAATTTTCTCAATGTTTTCACACCTTTTATACTACCTGATTATTTAGATTCAGGTTATAAATGATCTTTTAGTTGCCTGATAAATCATGCACTAGTTTGCATTATGTTGCCTGTCGCTCTTGTGTGTAGAATCTATAAGAATCTATAAGAATTAACCAGCAATGTTGCTCAAATTTTTTAAACCGATCGGGAGTGAGAATTTATAATACTCATTCAAACAAATATTATTTTGTTCAAGAAAGAAATTGAAATCTAACTCTTGTCTATGATTTCCAATAAAATATGAATAACCAAGTTCGCATATTTTATATTATATTTGTAATTTCTTTTTGACTCAACTTTCTTCTAAGTTCTGCTTTTCAATTGTATGTTTTTTTACTATATTTAACAATTTACATTAATAATTTCTGACGGATAGCAAACTTTTAGGGTTCCTTTAAAATTAAATCTTAGATAATTTTTGAATGCTTAAGCTTTTCACTTTTTTTAGAAAGTTTAAATGATTAGGATCTTAACCCATATTTCCTGTTTAAAAATATAATTTGAATTTTGATTTTTAAATGGTAGAATCACTTCTTTTTGGGTGTTCGATTTATTATGTTTGTTAAATCGGCAAATAAAACTTATTATAATTTTTATTCCTGAACCTGATCCATATATTTGATACACGCAGCCATCATTGAAATTCGAGTGATTGTTTAACATTAATAAGAAATTTGCCTTTTTGCTAAGAGTTGAGACTTTGGATACAGGTATGTTTATTATGTTAGAAACAAACGGTATCATTGATTATTTGTTGTATGTTAAAAAAGAATTTGGTCAAAAAATTCCATAAAAGCTTTAAGTTTATATATACATTATATGAAGTAATAATGTATAGTGTAGGAGTGACTAACAAAATCATTTTACTGACAGATAAAAAATTTAGTATTCTGAAAACTCTTTGTAGCGATAAAATAATAAAGTTTTTTAATTTTTATTTATTATGAAAATTTTTTACTTGGCCTTAGATGACCATAACCCTAAATTTTGTTTACTGAATTACAAGCGTAATAAAAATTCTCTATTTAAGAACGACCCGCATCTAAGACAGTATAATCTCGAAATACTGAACTTGTAGTTTGGCAAAGAAGGTAATTTTAAATTCCAGTTCTTCAAAATTCTGGCCCAAAGTTATCTAAATCATACACGTGATACCGTTAATACAAAACCTCTAGATAAAAATCAGTTATCACATTTTACAATGTATGATGTACTAGTATTTAGTAATTCTTATGATTCAGGTTAAGCGTGATTAATTACATCAAGTTTACTATAATGGCGAAGGCAACTTAATTAGCAAGGGACGATTGGGTTGCACCAGTTGCGCCAACATCAATTGTAACACAACACTTAATGTTTTGTATTGACTTATGTAAATTAATCACGCAAAATCTATAACATGTCGACAAACCAAGTTTCATGTGATGCAATTTCTTAAAGGGGCTGGTACATGATGATTTTTTGATTCGTCGTGATCAGATATTTACAATCGGTGATAAAGAAAATTTCGTTTCATGATGAAATAATCGATAAAATATTGAAGTATTTATTGTATATATATATTTTTAAATTTAATTCCATAATTAATTAAGAAAATTTTTTTTTTTGCTTACAGTAGCAAATTGAAATGGTTTAGACAATAAAAGAATTTCTTATATATTATTTAATTCTTGTTATATTAATATTCAAATAAATACGTAAAGATATTCAGTATCATTAATTATATATAAAGGAATAAAAGAAATATATTAAATATGGTATTTATTTATCATGATTAGAATCAATTTACTTACTGGTCATTTAGAGTGAATTAGCATAATTTTAAAGGTTAAATTCCTTAACTCCATCTTGCTAGATTACTATATATTGGACTTTCAAACTATATTTTTAACTTAGTTTCTATTTCAAAATAAGTGTATAAATTATAAATAGGCTTCTTCATTTATAGTTAAAGTAAATTATGCATGATATAAGTATAAATATGATCCAAAGTTTTCATTGTTAAATTTAATATTATAATTTCATCACCGAGATTAAGCAAATAAATTATTAAATTGCAATTTATAAAATATTAAATCTACATTCTTTAATAAAATAACAAAATACTGCTGCTATATTTACATTATGAATAATGTTGAACCGCCCGTTTAGATAATTTTTAATTTCTTAAATTGACCATTCCGAGTTCCCGATAGAAGAAAATATTTATTATCTCACGAATTAATATAAAATTTAATAATTCTATATTTGTTCTGTAAAAATTTAATTTATATTATTATTATGTAAGTTAAATCAGATGAAAACAATATTATATATTGTTAAAAGTAAAATAGTTAGTTTTACCCTTATTTCGTCCTTTTTTATTATTATTCCATTAAATATTATATTAAAATAAGTTTATATGTATTCTTCAACCATAAAATTTGTATAACGCTTACTTACCTACGAGACAATAGAAAAATTTCAATTAATTATATAACAAATGGAATTTTCACTGTTTAACTTTACCTTTTATTGGTTTATTACTGTCTAAGACTTATTATTATATGTGTTTAAAAAAAAAAATATTATATGTAAAAAAAATTTTATATACTATACATTATTTGATCGTAAATAGGCAAATCCTCGGTATCTGAGTTTGACTTATTTAACACAGTTCATTTTTATAGTAAATTTTTGAGTGTTTTTTAAACCTGGTCAAATTATGGTGCCCATCACTGGTGCAAATCGTAATAGATTTAAATGGAACCCAGAAAATTTTCATATAAATAAGGTTTAGCAAAAAAAAATTACTATTAGCCTCTTTCAGGGCCGGAATTATAATAATTCCAGCCGAAAAAATTCCTGTCAAAAATTATCACAACGATCTACATGATACCTTTACATATTTACATGAGACTTTTCCGATTTTGATAGACAAAAAAAAATTATTACGCCTAATTATTACAGTTACACTAAACGAATTGTGCGACAAATATCGGGTAATCACCATTCCGAAAATTAATAAATTCAGTCCTATCGACTATCGTGATACGCAAATACCTTCACTTACAAATATGTCATGCTCAAGAATATTTTCAGGAGATTTGCCTGAATTAATGAATGATATTATAAAATATTTACAGAATGATTTTTCAACATTACATTCATGTATTTTAGTTAATAGATCATGGTGTCGTTTAACAATTCCATTACTATGGGAAAATCCATTTTCTATTCCTACAAAAAATTATAATTTTATTGAAATTTACTTAAATAATTTAAATAATAAATCAAAATTAAAATTAAATAAATATAAAATTAATAATAATTTATTACCTTCGAATACACTTTTTAACTATCCCAGTTTTATAAAGTATTTGAATACGGGGAGTATTAGTTTTTCTATTGAAAAGTGGTTTAAAACTTTAAAACCTGAAAGTAGATATTTTTTACAAGAGTCAAATACATTTTTAGAAGTTAAATTTAAAGGCTTAATTTGGATGTTACTACTTAAATTGTTTATTGAGAATGAAGAAAATTTATATAATTTTGACATTGAAATCACCGATGATTCTAATATCTATTTTGAAGATTTTCTCGAATTAATGTTACAAAATCCAAATTTTATTAACAATATTAGAAATTTTAAACTTTATATTGAGATTAATTCTTTATTTATCAATTGTAGAAATATGTCAATTAAAAATCGTATATCACAAATGATTGATTCACATCAAAATCTTAAAAAAATTGTATTAGGTTATAAAAGTTTTCCTTTTTATCAATCATTATTATTATCAAATAATTGTTCAAATTCTTTAAACACAATCATATTTTATAACATCAATTTTTGTGATATAATCAATTTAGATAAAGTATTTGATCAATTAAATGTTTTAAAATCTGTTCATATAGTTTATTGTTCTTCTTTAGATAATGATTTTATTCAACAAATTATTAATTTAACTAAACCATTTAAACTTAAATCTTTATTTATAAGAGAGATATTAAAAATTAAATCATTGGAATTATTATTACAAAAATCTGGTGGTTATTTAGAAAATATTGGATATAACTTTGAGTGTGATAATGGTTTATTTAAACAAAAATTTTTAGAATTAATTATAAAATATTGTAAAAATATTAAATTTTTTGAATTACAAGAAACTGATAATCAAATCATTTATTTAGCATTGGATTTAATTGAAAATATAAGACAAAATATTAATTATCTTTCTATTGATATATATGGATCAAGTGATAACTGTGATTCATTTATATTAAGAAATTTAGGTCAAAAACTTCCACTTAAATTAGAATATTTATGCTTGAATCTTAATATTAATACAAATGATTTTGAAATATTCTTAAAAAATTCTCAGAATACTTTTATTAACAAGTTGTTAATCAATAATTTAAAAGCTGAAAATATTTTATCTTGTATAAAAGAAAATATCATGAAAAAGAAAAGAGTCAAATATTTAGCTATTATGAATTCTTTTGATTATATAGATTTGTTTTCATTGAAAGATGTAGTCAAGGAATTTGAGTTTTATAATATTATAATTCAAAAATATGATGATTTGATTATTTATGCGGATAGTGTAAACTTTGTAAAAGAATTGGATTAGGATATCTAATAATACTAACAAATTGATAAATATATTAATATTATTGTTATAAATTATCTTTATTATTCAATAAATCTTTATGAAACATTCAATATTATAAGAAAATGAACTGATAAATAAATTAATTCTCTTTTGGTTGATGTCACATGATCAGACAACATTAATATACAGATTAGGGTTCGTGGCAATTCATTCTATTTTGTTCAATACTTTTAGTTCCGAATCAGTTCTGATAGAAGCGGGTCTGTTCAATGCGATATATCTTATGAATTAAAGTAAAATTTAATAATTCAACGTTTCTAAATTTTGAAAATTTTACAAATAAAATTTTTTATAGGGTATTATACCGAAAATTTTCTAATTACGATCAATTCATGTATGTAAGTTTGATTTAAATGTTTCTATTGTCTCGTAGCATCATAAGTAATAAGCAGGCGTTATAAATTTTATGGTCGAAATTTATATAAACTTAGCTTAATACTGTATAATATTTAATGGGGTAAAAAAAAAAAATATACTACTTATAACGAAAAGGACGAGATAAGGTTAAATATAACATAAATTAGAGCTTTATTTATTATCACTTTTAATATTACGTAGTTTTGTTGTTATTTTAGAAAGAAATGGAAGCAGCTTTATGAGGTGATATTTTTGTAAAAATGAGCTTTTCACGGATCTATTCATGGAAAATGTAAATAATTCGATAAATTCCGTGATATAAGGTTATTAATTCTGGAAATGAGCCTTTTACGGAAAAAAGATGGAATATCGACTTTTTTTACAGGGATATTTTAGTGTTTTAAGTTTAACTGGTTAAACTATAATTTCGACCGGAATTAAGTGGTGATCATTGCCAGTATAAATCATGATCTATTCAACTAAATCCGCAGAATGCATGTGAAAATTTTGGCGCTGCTAGAATTTGCCTAATCCTTTGTCATAATCATAAATCATTTGGAATTTGTCATTTGGTCATTTGCGATGCCAAATGATTATGATTATGACAAATGACTTGTCATTTGCTCATTTGTCATTATAATACTGAAAGATTACTGGACAATTCCTAATTGCGGAATCACGTGATTTGTAAAAAAATATTAATTCGTGATCCGTGTAACGATCGGAGCATGTGATCAAAATTTAATAATAAATCGCGGGGTTAATAAAACATAGCAAAAATAAAATTTTTTCAAATCTCCGTTTCTTTACTAATTAACTTTTTATGTCTTCCACAAAACTAACAATACAACTTCTTGCTAGTGGTAGTCTAGTTTCAAGACTTCATTATGGCATATATGCGGTAAACTGGTGGACTTTTATTGATAAAAAAATGCCCAATGAAGAGAAACAAATATGTATACCGCTAAGGCTAAACATGAGAGTCCAGTCAGAACTTAATAAAACCAAATTTATTGTTCGTATTGTTAGTGCAGAAGATGGTATTAAACCAGGTTATGTCTGTGAATCTGACGTAGCTGCAAAAGTTTATCTATCTGCTTCAGAAGCTATAAATAAAACCTACAACAACCTTTTCAATAACAAAACACGATATCCAGGACCTTCCATTTTAGGGTTTGATAACGAAACTATTATTCAAGAACTATTATCCGATGTTTTGTTTTTTCCTTTCAAAATAATGGTCGACAAACTTTCTATTTTAGTTATAAAATTTGGTGATTCAAAAAAAAAAAATATGGTTGGGTATCAATCAAGTTTTATGTACAAATACAAGGAAAAGCAAAGTCTTTTTTTACAAAAAATTGAAAGTAAAAATTATTGTATAGAGGTATTTCAAAAGAAAGAAAGAATCGCATATTACATTGATATTTCACCAACTGAAGTTTGGAAGAAAACGGGAATACTGAAAAATTATAATGGCAATGTTTTATTTGGAATCGAGCATCCCATTACGATCAATGTTTTGAAAAATTATGAAAAATTACCAATATGTAGCGTGAATGAATGGGATAATATTGAAATAATAACCCAAGCATTCGAACAGCATCTAAAACGTAGAACTATTGCTGATCTTAATTGGCATAAGTTTTTTATTGAGTGGAAAGAGCAAGAGTCAAGTATTATAGAATTTATGACGCATCTTAAACCACTATATCCACCAAACTATGAATTTACTGATCGGGAATTACGCGCTTGGAGAAAGATGATGAAAAGCGTAGGCTGTACAAATATAACGCCCTATAAAAAGGAAGAGTCTAAGGTAAGTTTTTCAAATTAATCAATTGTATCTTTACAAAATTCAAATTTGATTAAAAACAAGTTGATCGTGTGGATTTTTACTAATAAAAATTTACTTTTCACTATAGCCTGAATTTTGGACTTGTGCTGTTGATCCCAGTAGTGATCACGCTGCACTTCTATACTTGTTTGACAAGGGTTTATTAAATGGTGTTTATAAAAATGAACCTGAGTTTATAGAAAAAAACAATCAATTGAAAGTAATAATCGATAAATTCTGGAATTGTTTTAAAGAAGCGATTGGAGTTAATAAATGCGGACTGGATGGAAAGCAACGGATTCTTTCTATTATTACAGAAACTTTTGGATTTAGAGAAATACAAAAAAAATTGCAGGTAAATTTCGAATATAATGTTGTTATTTCATTTTTTTTCATAAATAAAATAAACTTACTGCAATTTCTTTTAGATTTCTAATGATTTAATTAGTACTGCAAAGAAATATAGTCGCGTAAATGGTCCAGGATGTCCTGCAAAAATTAAACCGGTTGTAACACGAAACTATATTTCTGAAATAAAAGACAAAGAATTCGAGAGCTTTTTTTCTGATAAAGATAATGTCACAATGAGTTCTTATCGTGTTGATCCAAAAACCAGCCTGCCGTTACTATATCTAAAAGATAGTAAAGAAACCCTTTGGCAAAAATTCGAAGCAGCTTATCCTGATGGAATAAAGAGGACTTCTTTTATGGCACGCTTATCTAGTGGTCGTTATGTTTATCGAAAAGACTTGGGTGGATTATGTAATATATGTAATGAATACTGTTACGAAGTGTTTGATACGTTAATTAATTTGGTACGACTACATGTAAAAAAGGAATCACGGGTATAACAACTAGAATAAAAATTTTTGTTTAATGAGTTTATTATAAAAAAAATTGAAAAAATAATTTTTTAAAAAACATATACTCTAATTAAATTTTTTTAAATCACAAAAATTTCAAGAATACATTGGTAAATAAACTTGAGGAATTACGCCACCATCTAAGACGAGGCTTCGAAAATGAGCTTATTGTAAATGAAGATGGCACAGTATCACATACTGATATAATTAACCACTGCTTATTATACGCGTTTGGAGAATGTATTCAAGAACATAAGTCTCGTTGTGCCATGTGTGATCAACTGTTCGTGCTTATTGACCATTTAACTGTGGTACTTCCAGAAGATTTTCAACCTACAATTGAAGAATCACGAAATAAAATTTATTATTTTCTAGCTCACCAAGCAAGAAAAGTTTATTTAAACAATCAATTTAAAGCAAAGCTTTCAGAGCTTGACGATGATGGCGCAATCTTAGTATGTGATTACAAAATGAGAATCTTACCAAAAAGTGCTCGTGAAACTAAGGAGCAGTTCTTTGGAAAACGTGGGTGGACACTTCATACAATTTTGGTGTTTACAAAACGTGATGCCTTGCAACTAGACGTACAAGCATTTGATCACTGGTCTACCGATACCAAACAAGATGCTTGGTTTACGGCATCATCCTTTGATGCTGTTTTCGAAACGTTAGATCCAAAACCTAAGTGGATCAAAATTTTCTCTGATAATGGTGGCCATTATCACAATTCGGAATTAATGGCCATTGTTGCAAATTGGAATCAATGGTACAACATCGATGTCCGTGGATGGCACTTTTTTGAACCTGGAGAGGCGAAATCTAGTGTTGATTCACATCACGCACAGGTAAGTTATGATTTCATTTGTTGACGGATGAAAATATTGAATTCGTACCACAAACTATTATAATAACTGTGTGTAATTATTCCCTTTTTAGATAGCTCATTCCATCAAGAGATATGTAAGAGTTGGGTATAACTTAGATAATGGTGAGAAAATAGAGGACGCTATAAAGAATCTGGGCGGAACTTCCGTTGCTCATCTGGAACCAAAACGAAATCATGTGCCTGTTAAAACTATATCTGGCATTACCAAATTATCATATTTTGAATGGCCAAATGAAGGTTCATTCATCGGTTATATTCAAGCTCAGACCTTACCGCAAATAGGTGAATGGTTACGTTATTCTCCAACTGATGTCTCAAAGTTAATCAAAGAACCTTTGCACAAGCCAACTCCCGATATTTCTACTCATACCAAACCAGTTTTACCATGGAGTTTTCCTATAATTCGAATTAAAGGTATGTCATAAATGATGAATATTTTAGTTCAAAGGTTATAAATGATAAATGATTTTTTTTTACAGATAAAGTAAATAGAAATACTTTGGAAACTGAAAGTAATGATCAAGCCTGTTCTCTAGGTAGGTACAGTACGTTGCGCTACATTTTTTCACACAAAATATAGTTTAGAATTATCGCTGGAACGTCCATTTTTGTAGATATAAGTGATAAATTTCAGTTAGAAAAAGGATGGGCGCTCAAGAGTAACCAGAAATATGGTCAACGGGGTAGTGGAAAGCGTATAACAATAACCGTAAAAGCTTATTTGGAAGGGTTTTTTTTGGCAGGGAATGTGAATAAAACAGATCGAATGTCTGCAAAAGATATGGTTACAGAGCTAAAAAAATTAGCAGAAGAAGGTGAAATTCAAAATGACGAGGTGCCAGAAATAAAAACAATTGAAGGATGGATAACAAGATATTCGGCAAGCTTGCGCAAAGAATCAGCAGAGCAAAGAGTAATAAGTGAAACTAATAAAAGACTTGAAAAAGAAGATAGTAATAATAAAAGTAGTCATAAGCGGCAGAAAAGATAATAATTCTGTAATAAAAATTAATAAAATTTTGAATTTCACTTTATTTTAACATACTCAAATCTCCGTTTCCGCCATATAAAAGTTTTTAAATAGAAAACGTAAGAGACTTACAAACGAATAAATTAAAACTTTCAGATTCAATTTATCGTTTCGTCAAACCTTTTTTTTTTCAATTATATAATATTTTGTGCAATATATGTCACGTGAATACTGCGCATTAGAGATTATTTATATGATGATCGCCCCAAATTTATCATATAAATCTGCTCCGATTGATCGGCGAATTAGCAATTAAGCGAACAATTCTTTAATTTTGCATAACTATTATATATATAATATCATTAGGTTGATTTAAATTTGTTGTTACAGTATTATTCTTCACCACTCCATACAAATTTAGAAACAAGCAAATAAAAAAATTACATTTAAATGTCAAATTTAAAAGCAATTTCAGCTAAATAATCCAAATTTTGACTTGTATTTTGCATTTTCTATATAGCATAATTTTTTTAATTTTAGTTTATAATTATACTTAGTTTTCATTATATAATTGATTGCATAATTTATTTACTTTAAATTATAATGCAAAAATAAATCAAGTAATGTGAAAATAAATGAAATTATATGGATAATTTTTGATTCAAGATTGCTAATTATGCAGAAATGTTAGAACTTACTCATTTGGCTGGTCAGTAAATTTGAGTTAAATTAGTAAATTATTTAATTTTCTTTCATTAAATATAAAATTATAAATCACGTGATATAAAATCTTTTGCCACTATGAAAAAATTTTTTGTTACATAGATAAAACAAGATTTTTTTTTTATATTTTGTTTCTTTACTTTATGTTAAACAAGATTATCGATAAAAACTTTTGACTCAAATGACTCACATTTGAATTTCAAATGACAAATGACTTGTCATTTAATTCATTTGTCATTTCAAGTCATTTGCCGAAACACTGTGCTAGATGGTTTTTATATAATATGCATTCTGCAGATCGGCGGATATGGATTTGATTGTTACGCTATTGAACATAAATTGTGCGACAATATCGGAATCCTGAAAAAAATAAATACAGTCGATATTGTGAATTTGTGATACACAAATAACCTCTCTTTCTCTTACTTAAAAAAAATGTCATGTTCAAAAATATTTTCAGGAGATTTGCCTGAATTAACATATGATATTATAAAATATTTTAAAAATGATTTTTCAACATTACATTCATGTATTTTAGTCAACAGATTATGGTGTCGTTTAGCGATTCCATTATTATGGGAAAATCCATTTTCAATTTCTACAAAAAATTATAATTTTATTGAATTTTACTTAAATAATTTAAATAATGATTTAAGATCAAAATTAAATGAATATAAAATTAATGATAATTTATTACCATCGAGTACACTTTTTAACTATCCCAGTTTTATAAAGTATTTGAATACGGGGAGTATTTTTTATTCTATTAGTAAGTGGTTTGATTCTTTAAAACCTGGAAGAAGATATTTTTTACTAGATTCGGATTCAGGTTCAGTACTTGAATTTAAAAAATTAATTAGTATGTTACTATTTAAATTGTTTATTGAGAATGAAGTGAATTTACATATTTTTGAAATTGAAGTTATTAATTATTTACCTTTTGATTTCTATCTTGATGATATTCTTGAATTAATATTACAAAATCAAAATTTTATCCATAATATTAAAAATTTTAAACTTTATATTATGGTTGATTATTCAATTGATAATATTAAAATTAAATCGATTAATAATCGTATATCAGAAATGATTTCTAATTCACATCAAATTCTTAAAAGGGTTGTAAGGATTGTATTGAGTTATATAAGTTTTCCTATATATCAATCATTATTATTATCAAATAATTGTTCAAATTCTTTAAATACAATCATATTTTATCACATCGATTTTCATGATATAATCAATTTAGATAAAGTATTTGAACAATTTAATGTTTTAGAATCTGTTCATATATTTAAATGTTTTTCTTTAAATAATTTTACTCAACAAATTATTAATTCAACTAAACCATTTAAACTAAAATCTTTTTTTTTAAGTGAGATGATAAAAATTGAATCATTAGAATTATTATTACAAAAATCTTGTGATTATTTAGAGAATTTTTGGTATTTTTTTATGTATAATGATCATGATCTACAATTATTAGAATTAATTTTAAAATATTGCAAAAATATCAAATTTCTTGATTTATATAATTTTAAAAATCAGTTCAATTATTTAGTTTTGGATTTAATTGAAGATATGAGACAAAAACTTAATTATCTTACTATTGATATACATTATTTTACTGAACCCAATCCACTAAAATTAGAATATTTATGCTTGGAACTTAATATTTATACAAATGATTTTGAAATATTCTTGAAAAATTCTCAGTATACTTTTATTAACAAGTTAGTAATCAAAAATACTAGTGGAGATCATGACAATATGTTATCCTGTATAAAAGAAAATATTATGAAAAAGAAAAGAGTCAAATATTTAGCTATTATGGATGCAGTCTTTGATGAATATAATACTATCTCTGAAAATATAGATTTGTTTTCATTGGAAAATGAAGTGAAGGAATTTGAGTTTTATAATATTATAGTTCGAGAATATATTGATCTGAAGTTTAATTTGACTGACATAAGTTTTGAAAAAATTTAAAGTAGATCATATAACTTTTGTTTTGATTTATAATAATTATATATATTATTTTAAAATTAGTAATCTAATATGTATTACTAGTTTAAAAGCAAATATATAATGTAATAATGCTTATAAAAGTTTTAATTAAAATAAATATTCTTCATATGTTTATTGCATCCAGAAGTATATAAGAATCGTTATTAAATCTTTAATTATTTTACATTTACATAAATCATCTCATTTATGAATACAATTAGATATAATATAGAAAGCACAAGATGACCTCCAATTTTCTAGAAATTCCTTCAAAGAAATTTGAAATTTAAAATTACAAAAATCGAATTTCTCTTAAATTTTTTTGATGCTGATCTAATTAATATTTTGATAAGTTTTACCAGATTCTTCTTCATTTAATAGTGTTTAGTATAATCTGTTTTATACATTTTCAATTCTAGCTTAACAAAAATAATAATTCATATGCAAAGATACAATTTCTTTCAAGAAATAATAGATATATTTTACTTAGTCATGATTTTACATTTTACAATTAGTGATATCATGATGAAATAATTGATAAAAATGCTTGAAGTATTTAGTATTTATTGTATATGTTTATTTTTCTTCTTAAGACTTTAAATCCATTTTATTACCGATCCGACTAAAATCGACACTGACTTACTAATAAAATTCAGGGTTAAATTTGCCGATTTTGTGCTAGAACACAAACTTCAAAAAAGGATATTTCATAGACGATATATTAACTATAAATAAAAGACACATGATATACTGAAAAAGTACTTGAAAAAAAAAAAGAATTTGCAAAAAAAAATTATACGTTCATATGATATATATTATATATATATACTGTATATATATATCAAAGTAATGAGTTTACTATGTACGCGCGTCAGATTTACACCTTTTAAAAAATATAGGAAATTTCGAAATTTTATTATACTATATTGCATTATTTACATTAAAAACATATAAATTTTAGCTTTCAAAATTGTTTTTATAGACTTTTTTTAAATATTTTTTACTATTAAAACTGGGTGAAAATTGAAGAAACCAGTAACAGAAATATAATTATGACCAGTCATATTTGCTAAAAAAACACCTGTTTGTGAAATGGGTGGAAATTTATTCCGCGCGTGAGATGCAAAAAATGCTTTTTTTTTATCGCTATTATCCCAGAATTTTATTAGTGACGCAATGCCGGATCGGCAATTAATATTAAGAAATTTTTTTTTCATTTACAGTGGAAAGTTGAAATGGTTTAAACACAAATATCTTTATTACTGCTGTATATCTTTTTATATTTGAATAAAATGGTATAATTATGGAAAATTATTGATGTGACGTAATAAAACTACTTATAATTATGGGAATAATAAATATATAATTGACGTAATGAAGCAACTTAATCAAAAAAATTACTTTTAAAAGTTTTTATTATACTGTAATAGTTGTAGGCCAATTCGAAATACTGATTAGTCAAGTTATGTCCAGAAATTAATATAAACCCCTATGGTAGCTATAAATTATACGTCCCAGCTATCTGGCTCTTTAATAAAATATCAAATCTTACGTAACTTTTTGAAATTACCTATATCGATATTTACAATAGAAATACTGCAATAACAAATTTTGTCCCGTGAAAAAAAAAGACAAAAGCAGAATAAATTTTGTTATTTGATAAAATGTTAATTTTACTTTATCAGTTTATAGGTAAAAATAATTTATAAAATATCATAAATTCGTAAATAGTTATAAGCACTGAGAATTTAGTAATAATTAATTATCATAAAAATATCATAAAAATTAAAAACTTATAATTTACAAGCTAAAATATTTAATAATTATTTAAATAAAGAATTAACTTACTTTGCCTTCATGCCAACCCATTTTATTAGTTGATAAACTTTAATATATTATATGTTCGAGATTTCTAAAGTTTATTAATATTAAAAAAAAAAAAAAATTTAATTCGTTACAAATATTATATTACAAATATAACGAATATACCCATCCGATATGTGTGTGCCATTGTGACACAAAAACTTCGCAAACCATTTTTTTTTCAATTTTTCCAAATAAATGTTTTTATAATAATTATTTATTTATTTGGTATATATGTAAAGTTAAAACGACATCACTAATCACCTTCCAGCTTTTAAATAAACTTATAGAAATGCCGTGAATATGCATAAAAAGAAATTTTAAAAGCTTTTTACCAGAAATGATAAACTTTTTGTTTTATGATTATTATAAACTACTGCGCCACTAACTTAAATTCCAAGCTACATTACTCACGTGCTATTTACTTTATAATGTAACTTGCGTACATCGCACATATTAAATAATACAATCTTTGCCTTAACAAAAAAAAAACTCTTAGAACCAAGAATACTTGAATACTTATTCTTTAAAAAGAAAAATAAAGTTATCCATATCGGCCGATAGAGGAAGTCCCTAAAATTATGGGGGATATTTTTGCGATCAGTAAGAGGGACCGTCATGTCAATTGTCAGCCAATAAATTAAACTGCGCCACTTAAATATACTTCTGTTTATTACATTTATTTTACAATACTCTATAAACTTATTACTTATTTCACTTTCAACTATCTCTTTACCAAAAGTAGCAATGGTTAAGTGTCCCATCTGTTATAAACAATAAATATTTTGACGGATCATAGTATTTACATAATAATATACATAATAAAAAGAGGGTTAGACGCGATTCTATAAAGTGAAAAGGGGCTTAAACGCATAAAAAAGGAAATTTTTTAGAGAATCAGATTACGTAATATAAATAGTTTAGGGAAACAATTAAGGCCAATTTCCCCAATCAACCGATATGTTATTTAAAATGCTAGAATAAAATCCGTTTGATTTTAATGACTAAGTAATCATCCATTTTTGACAGTAATACGCAAATTCAATTGAACTTTATCAACTTATATATCATTTTTTAATTTCGAGAGGACCGTTATATCTAATTTTGCAATTTTCATGATCGAATTTATGAGTGACAGTCAGTTCAGTACGACGAGCCAGATTAAGCTTGTAATTTAGTGATAATTATTTAGAAAAAAATTATCGCTTATTAGTGGATAGAGCGCGAATGAGATTTTCACTTCAGGATCATTTGCATTAAACTTATTTTACAACATGCTATTGGTTGCACATTTTAATGAGTATTTGAATTGTATCTTGGAAAATTTACTAATACAATCTTTGATTTAGGTGCAATAAAAATATTGTAACAAAAATACAATACTATGTGTTCACAATATTTGAAATAAATGTTTTTATTACTTACTGTATATCTTTTGTACTTTATTTAGCCAAGTTGTTTGTAATTTATTTTTATTAAAAAAATAAAGATATTTTAAATATATTTAAAGTAAGATCACTTTACATAGAACTAATACTAATTAACTGTTATTAAAATTATTTTCCTTGGGTACTTTGTTATTTTCATTAGAATCTATATTTTCCTTGGTTAAAAAAGATTTTTTTTTCAAATTAATGAGTTCAGAAAATACTTGTTGCATATCTGGTCTATCGTTTGGATTATCTTGCCAACATTCTGAAAAATTGTTTTGATTAAATAAAAGAGTAAGTATGTATCAATAATCAAAAGCGAAATAATAAATATATTCATACTTGTATAAATGTTAATATAATCAGTTGGTGTATCAAGAATTGGAGTTTCTCTTTTTCCATCTAGAATATGCAACGTTAACGCTGTTTCGTCATGAGGGCTATTATAAGATTCAAATGGTTGTTGTCCAGAAGATACTTCCCATAAAAGTACTCCGACGCTGTACACATCTGATTTCTTATCATTGTTATTTGTTTGATTTTTAAAACGTTGCGGATCAACATAAGGTATCTTTCCAAAAATATTCTTTACGTAATTTGATACTCCAGCTCTACATGAAAGACCAAAGTCTGCTAATTTGATCTTATTCTGATGAATCAAGATATTATCAGAATGCTGTTTTATAAAAGAATTAATTATAATTAATACACTTGGATTATTTACTTGCGAATTCTAAAAGAATAAATACTTTACTAAATCATGATGTATAATATCTTTTCGATGTATACATGAGACAGCATCGGCAATTTGAATTGCAAATTGTAATTTGATATTCCAATCCAATTTATTAAAATTATTTTTTAAATAATTTCTCAAAGTTCCATTTTCTGCATATTCAAGAACAAATAAATAATTTGGAGGATATACTTGATCTAAAAAGAAAATGAATATGAATATATTAATGTACTATAAATTAATTTGAAATTTTATTTATTCGTTATTTTGGCTAACCCAGTCTGCAAATAATACAATAATACTTCAATAAATATACGGCGTAATACCATAGATTACACCATATATTGCACTAGAAATATTTTTTTTATATATGTATAGTATGGACATGATTGTGTGGGAGTTAACAATAAGTTGTAAATCATTCTATAAATTACTTACTTGTATCGCTGGTAATACCATAAAATTGAATAATATTTGCATGAAAGTTAACTTTATGCATCAAAATTATCTATATGTGTAGTAAATATAAATACAATATATACTGTATATATAGCATAATGTTAACAAACGATAAGGAAACTAAGAAAATAATAAGAATATTATACCTCATTAACAACCCTATAAAAAAAGTATGTCCGGAAATTGTAGCTGAAAACGTCCGGAAAATGTTTATTTGTCTGGAATATGTCCGGAATATTGCAATATTCCGGACGTTGGAAAATTTCCATTTTCCGGAAAATGTCCAGAAAATGTCTAGGAGGGTTCAGACCCTGCGTCCTTAAAGTGTCCGGAATATTGCAATTTTCTGGACGTTTTCCGGACACACGGACATTTTCCGGATGTTTTTAGCTACAATTTCCGGACATTTTTTTTTTACAGGGCAATTTTTTTCATAAAATCATCGTCATTTTTCAAAGATTTTAATGCAACAACGGTATTTGAATTTTCCCAATTTGCTCGATAAACATCACCAAACCCTCCATTACCTATACATGTTATATTTTGAAATTCATTATAATCGTAATAATTAATATATTCGTTGGTAATGCCATCATTAATCCATTGCGTCCATTTACTACTTGTATCTCTATCATCATTTTTATTATTCATTTTTTTTTTAAAAAAAGAAAGAACCATAAAATTTATTGATTTTGATTTATTATTCGTTTTATGGTTATGATCTCGTGTAACACAATTATGTGATTATAAATAGTAAGTTATAATAGAACTTTGATCAAGAGACTAGTGAAATAATTTTTGATCGCCTATTTTGAAATAACTAAATTTAATATTTCATTATAATTTTTTTTTTCCATAGAAAGTTTCTATATTTGTTACGAACCCTATAAAAAATTTTTATCCGAATATTTCCATTATTTCTCCGTGTCTTCCGTAAAAATTCCGTGAAAATGATACATTCACGGATATCCGTGTTAGCGAGATGAAAATTTCCATGATTTAAGGCTATTAATTCCATTAAAATGATACATTCACGGAAAAAACATGGAAAGATAAAACACGGATCAGATTTTTTACAGGGGAATAAAGATACATAACCGGTTCTCCTCCATAAAACTGGTACACATAATTATTTTAGCCTCCGAAGGAGGCTAACAATCAGATGATTCATACTTTTTTTTTAAAGAGTGACAAGATATCAAATCATTGAAATGGTATATTGTATATTCAGTTTATTCAATAATAAATTTATAAAATAAAAGAAGGCTACGATAAATATTTTATGCAATATGCACTGTAAATATTTCTGTTACTAAAACATTACAAGCAGGATAGTTATTACAAAATTTCTTTTATTAAAAAAAATTTCTAAATTTAGTTTTTGATTTACTATTATTTTTACGCTTGTGTAACTAATCTGGCCTTAAAATCATTTATCCAATTTGCCTTTATGTCTGTAATAAATTATAATGGTCAAAAAAAGAAATATTATAAGAGAAGTAACAATATTTATTACAAATATAAATATCAGATATGGAAAAAATCATAAAAATCATACCGAATAAGAAATACGAATGAAAAATTGTATTGTTTTAATTTATATTGTTTTAAAGTAAACATGTACTTTATTTATATTAGTATAAAATATATGAATAATTTTTACAAAAATTAGGAACAAGAATGTAATCAAGTTTTTGAGAAACATGTTTATTAAATAACATATTCAGTCTTATTTAATAAAAAATCTTATAAAATGAAAAAACCACGAAAACCATTTATATTCTGTAAAATCTTCTTTTACTAAAACAAAAAAACGAATTTCTTTGATATAAAATGACATTTCATTTATTAATATCATGCAAGTATTTATGATTGTGTACATTTTTAGTAAGATGTGGCGCTGTCATACTTTGATGCACGTCAGGATTGTTGCGCGCAGTAATTTTTAAAAAATTTCGATCATTTCTCCTAAGTAAACTTGATACACAATTATATTGCTTTCTAAAAGTATATGTATATTTGAGAAATGAGCGTGCCATATTCCAAATTAATATTATTCAAGAAATTAGTGAAATCAGAATTTTGATTATTACATATTACGTTAGTATGTCAACTATAGTAAAAGATATTTTTCCAGATTACTTTTTTGCCAAGGTAAAAATACAATTGATTTTATTTGTCAATATAATTTATTGTATTTGCTTTATTATATATATCTAGTGTATCTTCTGAATGTTTAAAAGTTAAACACTTTTTCACAAGGTATTATGAAGAAATTGACCTTGGATCAAATCTTCAATCTTTTTTAAAATTACAACTGCTGTAAATAAATTTATTTAGAATTCTCTTTATAAATAACATTTAAATTAATATATCTATAGAAACATAAAATACAAAGAAAAAAAAAGAATTGATATACTGTAAACATTTTATATATTCACATAAAAGCCCTTCATCTCCTTCTAATGAAAAATGTATAAAAATTTATATACTTAGTTCATACAGTATAGCTGAAAAAATACTTTATTATATGGATCAAGGAATGAACATTCTATGTAATCTTATGACCCTATAAGAAATATGTATACGGAAAGGATACGTTTTGTATACATTTTATGTACGTTTCTATAGATTCCGTATACAAATTCCATATATTTAATAAGCAATTCATTTTTGAACATTTTTAAAAAAA